AGGTACATGTTGTACTTTTTACTTCACTGCATCTCGGAGGTACATGTACTTTTTTACAATATGTACCTCTTAGGGATAATACTTACATATTTAAAATTATCAATACAGGACTTTTACTCATAGTGGAGTATTTTCACAGTGTGGTATTAGTACTTTTAAGTAAAGGATGTAAATACTTCGTGAATGCATGAAAGCAGCTCAACATGTTCACTCCGTGGGAACATAATCTGGCAGAGGATTTGAGAAACGGCAGCAATTAATTCATTGACGTTGGAGTTTTTAATTATTCTTCTAATTTTGATAATCTTAATTAAGTTTCATTCACGCAATTAGACAGCCGTGAAATAAATCTGTTGGGAAAAGATGAAGAAGAAGCGAGGAACTAGATTTATTTAACACTTCTCTGTCCTCTTTTCTTCTTTTTTCTCAGGGACAAAGATGGCTCTGAAGTTTCTGAGGAAGAAAACCACCAAACTGAAGAGCTTCCTGAGAGAGTACAGCATCTCCCTCTACCTGTCGCCCTGCCCCTTCATCATCAACATGTACGGCATCGCCTTCGAAACAGAAGAGTACTACATCTTCGCTCAGGAGTACGCTCTGGCAGGAGATCTGTTTGACATCATCCCTCCACAGGTGAGGAAAACAACAACAAGCTGTGAGAGAAACGTACATAAATCTGCTTAGTAATCATGATATAACGTTAAAAAAAACTAGTGCTGGGCAAGTTAACGCCTTATTATCGCGTTAACGCATTCATTAATTAACACCGACAATTATATTATCGCGTGTTAACGCAGTTTTTTATTTATTTATTATTAAGCGACATTTTTAACACAAGAACCAGGCAGCAAGCAGTGAACAGCTGTGTTCGTGTGGAGTCACTTCCTTCTCCCCCCCGGGTCCAGAACCCCTCCTACACTCCGTCACCGTCCTTCACTCTTGTCTTACAAACACACACGCGAGCCGATCTTCTCGTTACAGATCAAACGTGACTGTTGTGACGTGGAGCTTCTCGTGAGGAACAAGACACGTCTTGTTTGAACGGAACACTTTACTGTCTGAACTGCAGTGTTACAGTGTTAAAGTGAACACAACACGCTCTTGCACCCGACATGTGGTTTTCTACGTATCATCAATATTGTTAGCGTCAAGAACACGTACCATTCTACTTCCTGTCTCTTCAAAGTAAAAGCACTTCAGTTTTCATGCTCTTCACAATAAAAGTAAATCATGCAATCAAACAATTTACAACAGTGACAATATTAAAATGCATATTGTCGAGTTTTTAAAGTGTTTTGTTTGTAATATGTATAATAAGCATCATTTAGTTATTGCTACTGAGAATTTAACAAACAAAAAAAAGAAGTAGATGGGTTTGCAGTTTTCAAGGTGTATATTTAAATATCATCTCTTACACACATGAAGATAAAGTTATGAACACCGGCTGAATATCTATTATCAGAATCATTATAACTGTATTTTAACTGCTACTGTGTAAAGGGAATACTGCTGTTAAAAATAACCTTATTTGTTTAAAGTGTTTACAAACCAAATGTTATTGACCTTTTGTTCATATAGCAGTACTTTTAAAATAAAAGTGCCCAATACACTACTTTTGAATTCATTATTGAATTTTGCCATAACAATGTGATTAATTGCAAAAAAAATCCATGCGATTAAATATTTTAATCGTTGCCCAGCAAGAAAAAAAACGTATAAATATTACATAGTATAACTCCAGAACTTGCTTAAGAATCATTGTGTTTTTAAGTTTTCTCGTCGTGTACCTAACTTTATTTTTCTTCGTCTCTGCTCAGGTGGGACTACCTGAGCCGGTGGCCAAGCGCTGCGTCCACCAGGTGGCCATCGCCCTGGACTACCTGCACTGTAAGAAGCTGGTCCACAGAGACATCAAGCCCGAGAACATCCTCATTTTTGACAAAGAGTGCCGGAAGGTCAAGCTGTCTGACTTCGGCATGACGCGGCGCGCCGGCTCTCCCGTGAAGCGCGTGAGCGGCACGATCCCGTACACGGCGCCCGAGCTGTGCGACACCGTGCGGCACGAGGGCTTCTGCGTGGACTACAGCACGGACGTGTGGGCGTTCGGCGTGCTGCTCTTCTGCATGCTGACGGGAAACTTCCCTTGGGAGAAGGCCATGCCCAACGACGCCTTCTACGAGGAGTTTGTGCGCTGGCAGTGTCGCCGCACGGGCACCGTGCCGTCGCAGTGGCGCCGCTTCACCGACGAGGCCCTTCGAATGTTTCGAAGGCTCCTCTCCATCGAGCAGGGGCGCCGCTGCTCCGTCAAGGAGGTCTTCAACTACTTCAACCTGTGCTGGATGTTGGACACGGAGAACGGGAACAACAACAGCGGCGGCAGCTTGGCAAGCAGTGCGCCTCCTCTGGACATCAGCTCGTCTTCATCCGAAGAGGACGTGTTGGTGGACAGACTGAAGCAGCAGAGGTTGTCGCCCGCTTTCGCGGTGGCGAAGGGGAGCATCATGATGGACACCCACTACTCCTCCATGTCCACGAACAGCTCGCCGTCCTCCACCGGCAGTTACGAGAGGGTCAACAGAGATAACAACGAAAGAGGACGCATCTTGGTGGCAACGCCCTTCGAGATCTGCGTGTAGGGGGCTTCTAGTGGTGCGGTTCAGGCTGCCTGCACACACGTGAGCTGAGGAGGAAGATTTCTCCGATGATGATGATGAGGAGAGTGTAGTTATTGGTGCTTAGCGTCGGGATCAACAGCCTGACATACGTTGTAGCTTCACTGCGGATTTACTCATTTCTGATGAAGACGAGCTCTGAGGAAATGAGCAGCGAGACGACCACAAGCCTCTTGTTTGTGGTTTATTTATCAGATACTGAAATGAACTCACTGGACAACATGTAAAGAAACATAAAGCTGAAGAAAGAAAACATTCATAATCCACAAGCAATATGTTCAAATGTTTGGAATAGTCCACTAAATGCAAAAATAATGTGTGAAGAAAAGATATGATCAACTTTCGAGAGGACTTGTTGATGTTACTATTGTGTGTTTGTTTGGTAGATGTGTTCCTGTAAAGTGTGTGGTGGTTTTTTTTTGGAGTTAAATTATTTATTTATATCAGATGCATATATTTATGATTTGTTTTTACCAGAGAATTTAGAATTTCTGTAGAAGCAGGCGGCTTTCACAAACCCACATTTTCCTTTGAATATTTGTCATGTTGTCGTGATCTCCCATAAAAAAATAAGTAAACCGACTGTTCTTTCTCACCCAAAATGTCCTTTTTCATGTCTGCCTGCGATGCCTAAACCAACTGTGCGGTAGCAACCACTAATGTGAGCGGCTGAGAACGCACCTCGCAGTGTTAATCGGTATATTATTACTTTTCTAGCCTTCTAGAAAATGTCTGCAGCCAATTTGCTTTTAAGGTAAAAAAAAAAAACCCGTATGTAATTATCTATTTGGTAACATGACAAGTGGGAGGAGCAAATACTGAAGTGTCTTGAATAACCTTAGTTTTTCAATATGCATGGTTGATAAAGAAAATAGAAATTGTACCTTTCATGGAAATGATGAATTTGTCTTTTTCTGAAAAATAGGCAAGATCAGGGAAATATAGTTAAAACTGGAAAACAATATAAAAGTATTTGGGGAAACCCTCAACTTTTTGGTGATTGAGTTAAACCCGGAAAAGATGAACAAATGTTTGAAATATTTCAAAGCACTTGGGGATAGAAATGTTACGGAAATGTTCTTTGTGTTTTTTTAAAAGTATTGTATGACGTGATTATTACTGTGGTGAACATTTGTTGAAATAAACACCCCGAAAATTAAAAGTGGACGCTGTGATTTGTTCTTTCGACATTTCTGGAAGATTCTATACTATTCATGTCTGGACGGTTAATAAGAAGCTACAGAAAGAAACCGCTGGAGGGAAACGGCTAGCACTGCTTTCTAACCATAGAAAGATTCTGTCTAAAAGTCCCTCTACATACGGGGTTCTCATCCCACCACGTGACTGAGGGCTGCACAGGAAAAGGGTAAGCATGAAACAAAATGTCTTTTCCATCTCACGTCCACATTAAACTACAGAGTTGTCCACCAAAGTTGCTAACTTTTGCTAATAGCATTACAGAACGTCATCAATGCTAGTGAAGTATGTCATAAAAAGTCACTGTATACTCTGTCTAATTCATGGAGTTTTCATAGGACAAAGTATTGATTGTCATGAAACAAATAATAAAAAATGTCGAAAGGGATACTAAAGTATGTCATGATAAAAGTCCTAGTATAGTATTTATACAAAGGCCATTGTATGTAGAAAAATATAATTAAAAAACAATAGTATAGTGTGTCATACTGTGATGGAAATATGTCGTAGTATAGTATGTCGAAAGATTTCACGAAAAAAAAATCATAGCATAACGTCATGTTTAAAATTGTCATAATATAGTCTGTCAAAAAATGTTTATGAAAATAGCCGAAGTCACAACCGCCAGCGTAGTAATGAGCTCCACCTCAACAGCTACAGCAGTAAAATCCTGCTGAGAAATAATAATCTGACGATATAATATATAATAGTATAAACTTTTTCTGCTATTTGAATTGATCAAACTGCAGAAGAGATGTGCAAATGTGCATTCCTGCTTCAGCATTTTTCTTCTATATTTAGACTTTTCTGCATTAGATGATGTTTTGCTGCATGTCGGTCACATAATTATGCCCCAATAAACACAGCAAGCTGTGGAGCCACTGGGGCATGTTTCTGACTGTAACGAGCAGTCTGCCTCCAAAGAGCCTCGCAGGAAGCTGAGTTACATAACACGCCCACCGAGGCACAGAATGCGATTCAATGTTACAGCTAAAAAATAGATAACACACACACATCAACAGTAAATCTGAGGCTAGAAAACACAGATGCAGCAGACGTGCACACAACACAGTGTTTGATACACTGATACGAAACAGAAAGATTAAATTGGTGTTTCTAATGTCAGTTCAGCAGAATAAACTCAGGTCTGCTTGTATATAACGGATGGAATCGGAGAGGAGGAAACCAGCTAAGTGCAGCTGAGCATCGCTGCATGTTCAGCATAGTAATTACAGCTGCTCTCACTGATCTCAGTGTTTTTCACCAACGTGTTTACATATTCACCAGCAGACAGAGAGTAAATACCAGGAATGTTCATCTGCTTCTGTGTCTGATGTTCACATCTGTTACTTCAGGAGGAGTTGTAATACTACAGTGATGTACAAATACTCTGGTACGAGTAAAAGTAGATGTATCCACAATGTTACTTAAGTAACTGTACAAAAGTATTGGCATCAAGATTAACAGAAATAAGTACTCCTATATTATAATTATTGATGGATTCATGTGTTCGTCTCTATAATGTTGCAGCTGTTAAAGGTGGAGTTAATTTTAATTACTTTATATGTATTTCTAGTTTACTCTATAAAATACATCAAACTTTATCTGTTGAATATATATTGTATTTATAATCTGAATATGCAAACTAACTAAAGTTATCAAATACATGTAGGGAAATAAAAAGTAATATTTTGCCTCCAAATCGTAGTGGAGTAGAAGTATTAATTAGCTGAAAATGTAAATACTCAAGTAAAGTACAAGTACCTCAAAATACTTCAGTAAATGTTTTAAGTTATTTTGCAGATTTCTCAGGGTGTCTCAAGATGTTTCAGAATGTTTCGGGGTGTCTCGGGGTGTCTCGGGATGTCTCGGGATGTTTCAGGATGTCTCAGGGTGTCTCGGGGTGTCTCGGGATGTTTTGGGATGTCTCGGGATGTTTCAGGATGTCTCAGGGTGTCTCAGGATGTCTCGGAGTGTCTCGGAGTGTCTCGGGATGTCTCAGGATGTTTCGGGATGTTTCAGTATGCTTCAGGATGTTTCAGGATGTCTCGGGATGTTTCAGTATGTTTCAGGGTGTCTCAGGATGTTTCAGGGTGTCTCGGGATGTCTCGGGATGTTTCGGGATGTCTCGGGATGTTTCG